ATGACGAACAAGTTTGACCTGTTTTTCTAAAGCGTTAAGCTCAAAGTTGCACAAAATACTAAGGAGTCAGGTTCACCGAACATGGTAAGCCTAGAGATACTGCAGACCACAAAATGAGAGGAATGTACAAGGCAGACTCCCATCAGCCGCTGGCCACTGATATGCAGAACCCAAGACTGAGCGTTTCACACTTACGTAGCTCGTGCAGACTTTGCTGCAATTCTAGCGCCATTAGGTAACCGGTTTTCAAAGATATTTCTATTGCCACTTTTTCATGGAACCGATCTCTTTTTTTTTTCTGCAATTAGATGCAAAGTCTGATTTTTTGTGTATATTATTGCTGGTGAGCCCCTTTCCTGAACATTTATCCCACTGGAAATAAAAATGGTCAGAAAACACAGAGCAGTCCAAATAACTTTAATACACAGCTATTCAATTTAATCACACAGAATGACTACTAACCTCTGATAATGCTGAAGGGGAATGTAGCCTGACAGATGTATACTAAGCTAGCCATTCATTCAGACATAGGGAGACACATTCACACACTGTTCTTTCATTTCAAAAGTCATATTTATCATATAAAACATATAAAATCTGCATTTTATTTAATATGAACTAATTCTGTAATGATATCATGTTTTGCTTGTGAGCTTGTTTCTTTTAAGGTTTTTAACATCTTAAAATGTTAAGAAAAATACATACACGTGTCCTGGCAATATATACACACACACAAACACACAATATAGGTTGAACCTGATGGGCCTGTGTCTTTATTCAACCTCACTGACTATGTAACTATGTGAGTATGCAGGATAACAAAAAAAAAAATCGTAAATAGGAATCTTTGTTAAACACCAGTTCATTCTAAGTAGCTAGCTTGTTCCTGGTAGGTACAGGCACATTTAGTCCCTCTGTTTAACAAGCCTTTCCAGGACAAGGGATCAAATACACAAACAGTTCACTTGAGGTGCCCTTTTAAAACATTTACCTGTGGCAAAAAAAAGGCTGGTCATTCCAAGCATATCCATGCTTTCTGGGAACTCCCCATAGAGTGCGGTTAAGGAACAGATGATCGCAAAAAGCAAATCAAAACTGTAAGCTCTTTGCTCCAGGTTAAGTCTACATCTGTGACGTGTATAACTAAGTGAATAAAAATGACTATATTTAAGAAACTAGATAAACCGGCAATTCCCAGATATCTATGTAGTTTGAAAGACTAAAAGTAAAAGTGAATCTGCACAGGAACATACTATCTGTTCCTAATGCAGATTCTAATTCCTGAATCTAGAAGTGGACGGTTGGACCCATTTCTCTGTAGTAAGAGAGAGACATCCCATTGCAGCTTTTCAAAGAAGGGGCATTTCTTTATTTTTTTTTTGTCGTTTTTGTTGTTTAATTAGTCCAGCCATTTATTCAATGCATGCATGAGAGGACGGTAATACGCTATGGCAGTTCCCACCATATTCCGCTCTAGATCTCTCAGTCACTGCCAAATCAGACACATTAACCCCTCTGCAACTATGAGAAGAATGCTGCACACTGATGAGCAACGTGACAAGGACAGTGGCAGAAAAGGTGTTAACTGCATTGGATGAACAAGGGCTAACCTTAAATCATGAGGTTAACCTAATGCTTCCAAACTATTTAGCCACCTGTAGCCAATCACCTGATTGATTTTAGTATATGAAAAGCAATGTGGTGACTGCCATGAAGAGGTTAAATTGCGCTTTACATCGGATTATTATTGCCTGTGTAGTTTAGCCCTTAAACATACTAAATACCGGATTTCATGTTGTTGCAGTGTCTCTACGGCTTCTACAAATGCAGATTGCAACATTTGGTCCCACTGCAAGTCTTCCAAACAGGCGTATGGTAAAACATGGGTGAGAAATTAGAAAATATGATGAATGCGATATTAATTCTAAGCTGGTCTTTGCCAATGTATCATTTTGCCCTGTTTGGGGGTCATGAAAACAAGATTATAAGGCCGAGACAACAATTAGGTAAAAAAGAATGAGATGGGCAATACACGCTCAAAGCAGTTTTATATGCAATGCAATCGGATCAATTCCCATTGCACTGTGCACAAGTCATTTAACAATAACTGTAATGACAAATGAATGGAATGTGTGTAAAAAATCTATCCTAGGATGTACTCGGATTGTCATAGGTCCCATTTATACTGAGCGGGTATTGATATGATTACACATAATATGTTCCAGCATAACTATAAATCATCTTGGTTTTTTTGCTTCGTACCACTTTTCAGAACGGTTTTCCATTATCAACCCGTATACTGTTCACTCTTAACAGTTATTTGTATTATTAACAGACTATTTACTAACCAAACCACATTTTATTATAACCCCTCACAAAAATAACTCACAGACCGCTTAAGAAAATCTCAGCTGATAGAAATACAAAGCTGCCATTGCTGAACTCTTCCTCCAAAAATACAAGTTTTCTGGCTCTCAAGGTGACATTCTGGCTTTACTGCTCTCTTGGCCAATCATCTGGAATAAGTGTGCAGATTAGACCTGACTTTTGTCCTCAGTTTTTAGTGATACTTATTCCAGATCTGGCTCAGGAAGTACGGAAGCCATTTAATTACAATGACAGCCTAGTATTTGCAGAATGCTAGAGGTCGTCAATGGCGGCTTAGACATTTCGGTTATCAGAAGTTTCCCTTATATTGGTTACATTCAGAAATCAAACACTAACAAAGTTATTTACAAAAGGGTGAAGAGTTTGGAGAAGTGAACAAACTAGGACAACATAGCTGAGCTGGAAAGTGAGCTGAATTGGAGAATGTTTCCAAATTGACCATGTTGTCCTAGATAAGAGAAGTGAGCAGTCTTCTCCAAACTCTTCACCCTTTTAGTAAATAATCCTGTATATGATAGTAACCTATTCATGAAGTTTAATTATTTGTATCATACTTGATCTTCAGACACTATGCTTATTCTCCAATTACAGGCTTTGTGTCGGTTTAATATCAAAGGATCAAAAAGTGTTTTCAGTCATCTGAGAACACTATAACCTTTAATCTCTCTCTGTGCCACACATGGCCTGTGGTAATGAAACAGTTACAATGTGAACATGAATGAATGAAAGTGGCTATCATGTGCTGCAGGCATGCACCTCGATGCATGTCCTACGGGAGAACGTGTGTCAATGATTGTTTAAATTCAGTCCGAAGGGCAGCAGATTAGTTTATGGCAGAAGACTGTGGACCCTGAACTTACACCCAAGCACACAATGCATACATACAAGTAGCTTCCAGTATGAACTAATTATGCTTTTTTATGATTCACTGTCTTACTTTTTAAATTCCAGCAGATATTCCTTAAACCACATTCACAGCTGTACTGCTTGATTTTATTTATAATTTTAAATAAACTTCAATCTGCAGATAAAACACACAGTACAAAAGAAAAGACCAGTCTGTGTAACATGCGCCATTTCAATGATTTTAATAAGCAAAATAGGAAACAATTTTGTTAACAAAAAAACAACAAAAAAAAACAAAACAGAAACCAGTCTGAATAAAAACTACCTAGACCAGGTTTGAACTTTACGCTCGTCTTGTAAGCAGGGTTTGAATTTTATCCCTTTATAAATCGACATGAAATTTAAAAAAAAAAAACACCATGTTGCCAGAGACATGATTTCAACACAGTTGAATCAGGAAATAAATAAAAGTAATAAATCCTCACAGATCACTGCTGATACATTGACAGAAACCCTCTATATGTCAAGACTGCAAGCATATTGATGTCCACATAATCCTGTTTTATACTATTAACTTATTTATAGACAAAACAAAAAAAAATGCATCTGCACCAGCAGTGCAAAAAAATGGAACAAAAAAAAGAACAAAAAAAAAAATCATACACATATATATATAAAAATGTTTTTTTCTCTTAATTTGGTATGCTGCGATCCCAAAGCATCTGGGGGGGGGGGGGGAGAGAAAAGGAAATAAATTCATTTGCTAGCTGGTGTAGTAGCAAATCAACATTAGAACATAACGCTTAGTAGCAGAGTTGATAGGAAGCATTTAGTATCTATATAAGTCACCATTTAAGCTGTCACAACATAGCCCGGCTTTTGTCCTCAGAGAATATGTTATTGCAGATCTGCACTATCCTGGTGTCAGCAAAAATTAAACTCAGATGCCACTTGTTTTATGTTAAGGGGTAGTAATACAGACCTTGCTTATTGTGGAAACAAAATAACACACAAGCCCCCTAGGGAAGCTGCAGGGTCTCTGTGATGGCTAAAAGGGTTATACATTGATTTCATACCAACACTGGGAGAAAAAAAATGACGTTTGTAAATGTGTGTATACGCGTAGGTACATACACACACATACAAAGATACAAAATGATCACAAGAGGCAACAATAGTCTTTAGAAGTAACTACCTACTACAATGGCACCAATGAGACATGGAAATCATAATTCAAAGTAACAAAAAGTGGCAATGTGTCACCTGCACTACATGGACAAAACTTGCCCACAATTATGTCCACAACTTCTTTCTCTAAATTAAACTGAGCAACCATGTGAAATGTTGGGAAAGCTATAATATTTTTTAATATTTACATGT